AGGGGGGACTTGGGTTTGGGAGGAGGTATAAAGGTTCCTAAAGAAGTTCAGGATGGAGTTCTTAATGTCTTCATGATCATAGAGTTATTTCACACTATCATCTTTAAGGGACAGGATCATGTTCCTCCTTCTCCTATTGATGGTGGAAGTGTGAAAGAACTTAGCATCACCTTCAGTTAGTCAGTTGACCCTTTATTTCAGCTTCCAAAAATCTTCCTCATTCCTGAGGATTGAGTCCAGATCTCTAATCAGGCTACTTTCTAGGTTCAAAAGAAGGTTGCTATACTAGTAGCTGGGGGATTTTTGGATTCCAGCAATTCTGGCCAGGATCTTTCTTTTCTTTGTGGAAGATATTGCCAAAGGTAAGTCTGTTCCACTGGGTGACTAAGTTCTTGAAGGTGTGAGTTGATTGGATTAAAGGGGAGTTTGGGGTGAAAACCTCAGTGATAATATTGGGAAAGGATGGGTGGCTAGTCCACATAGATTCAAACCTAAAGGGCATGTTAGTATTATTGACAGGATCCCCCTTTAGCGTTATTTGTACAGGGCAGTGATCAGAATGGGTCCAAGAGAGATGGTCACACAAGCCTCAGAGTACTGAGATATCTAGCAATCATTAGCAAAATATCTGTCCATTCTTTCTAAAATTAGACTGCTCCTATTTTTATATCTTTTGTTAGTCCATGTGTATTTACTACCCATGTATCCTAAGTTAACTAACTTGCATTCATTGAGGCAATTCCAAAAGAGGTTGCTACGGTTTGGGTTAATGAAATTGTCCCCAAACTTATCCCTACCCTTTCATACTTCATTAAAATCACCACACACAAACCAATTTCCAGTATAGCTCTTAGAGATAGTAACTAAATTATCTCATAATAGTTTCTTATCAGCAAATATGGTGCTAGCATATATGGCAGAAAATAACCAGGGATTCTGATAGGGTAGTACCTTAACCATGGCATGAATGCCTGTGGAGTAGTGGACACCTCATCCACTTACACACAGTCAGCTTTCCATATCATAACAATCCCACCGGAGAGACTTACAGCTAGAGACTAGATGAGCATATCAAATTGCATTTCCTCGGTCAGCTTCTTATGTCAGCCATTTCTGTCTCTAGCAGTAGAAACATTGCTGGTTTGTGCATTTGAACCATATCAAAGGAGTGTCTCCTGAACTCAGTATTGTTCCCACCCCTAACATTCCATATAATGTAGTTCATTAGGGGTGTTGGCTTGGTAGGGGATTAGTTTCTATGTGCCTTCTCTATCCCCTAAGGAGGCATCATTGGTTTCTTCTGATTTTTGCTTCTCATGTTCAGCACCGGGTTAGATTTAGCAATGGTTAATCATTTCTTGACTGTGGTGAGAGCCAGGCTCACTCTACATTTGGTTAAGGTCTTGGGACACATGAGAACTAGAATCTCGCTACTCTCTACACTGAACTCTATAGCCCTGACAGAGTCTAGTAGAAGAGAGTCCGTGCGAAGAGGTCCATAACCCTCCCCTTCCACTTCTAGGACTGCTTTCCCTTTCAAAAGTTCTAGAGCTCTGTTGATCTCCTTTGTTATGTTCCCTAGTGGTGGCGAGTGGCTATTCCCTACTGGAATAGAAAATGATGGAGATTGTTAGAATTGGGGCTCGATTGTCGCGAAGAGAGGAGTCGTCGTCGGGTCCTCCGCTACTGGGTCTGGGAAGAAGCGGATCGATTGGAATACTTGGGAGAAAAAATTGTTGATAAGTGGTGGGTCTAGATTGGGGTGCATGTTGCCGTTGAGGGTCATTGCTTGCTAGAGGCTTGGGCTAAAGGCTGCTAAGCCCCTGTTTAGGGTCTCCACTATTAGCCTCGCTAGGTGCGCAGGGTTTTGGACGATTAGGGTGACTCAATGGTTCCTTAGGGTGAAATTGTAGGCTAAGCCTTGGCCCTGTGGTGCCATCTTCAGCCACGATGCCAGTGAATGGTCCAGTGGAAGTAGGAATGTCACGATAATGGGTGGTTGTTGGGGTTTTTCCATTTTTGTATTTTTTTGCTTTGCCTCTTTGGGTATAAATGGGGGTTAGGTTAGAGGGTGGGTACATAATGGCATAATTTGGAGTGGGATTCAAATCAGAATCAGTGGTATGAGCATCGGTAATTGCATCTGATATTGTGGATTTGGAATTAATAGTGTATCTGTTTGAGTGGACGGAGGGTGTCATGTCACCTGAGTTTGGGTGATTTCTCAGGTGAGACACTTGAGTGTCCATGGATTGTGGTGAAGGTTTCACAGTAGAGATCTTCGTTAGGGGGAAGTAGGGGGCGTGTAGGTACTGGGGCAAGGGAAATCATTTGGGCTGGGGGGATCTGATTGGGCATGGTCCCCATTAGTTGGTTTGTTTGGGGAGTGGTGGCCTAACCCAGCAGCTCATATCAGATGTAGCCCTAGATTTGTGTTATTGATGTAAGGGTGGCATGTGGGCCGGTTAGGCCCGGGCCCGCGAGCTCAAATGGGCGATGGGCCTAAACAGGCCTAATCGGATAGAACCGGGACCAGGTGGTGGTGGGCCTGGAATTGGCCCGGTCCCATGGTTGAGGCCCGCGAGACCGAGACCGTTTGGGCCAGGGACCGGCTGGGAAGTGGGTCGGTTTGACCGGTCCTAAACGGGCCTAAACGGAGTTAATTGATGGGAGCCTCTTTTAATTCAACTTGGACGGTCCTAGTTGCTTTATCCGTTTCTGTCCCTTCAGCCCCGTTCCTGTTTTTCTTTTAGCAATGTACTTGGGTTTAGGCCTTTTTGGTTGGGCTATCGGGGAGTGAGGAGTGGGTTTGTGTTTGTTAATTGGGTCACTGGGCCGGTTGGAGTTATTTGTTTGTGTATTGTGCATTTTTGAATATTTAAAAGTTTTGGTTTCCCGAAACTTATTAGAATTTGCATCAAACATTTTTACCTGAATATTTTGTGATTTTTGTTCATGATGTTGCGAACTTCTTGCTCCATTGCTTCTTTCCTTTGTGGGTTGGTGGTTTGGCTTCTTCCGTCTAGCGAAGGTTACTGTTTTCCATCCGTCCTTGTCTTCCTTGGGATTGTGCATATCTGCGCATTCAGGAACTTCTTGTAGTGGTGTTGATGCAAGTTGCCTGAACTTGCAATTTTTTGAGGTGTGACCAATCCTACCACATATTATACACAAAGTCCATTCTCTTTCATAGATCACTGCCTGTTTGTGATCTCCGATGATGACTGATGTTTTCACCGGGGTTTCAAGTGGGACTTGAATACAGATACGTGCATACCTTCCTCTCAGAGTGGAGGATGTGCACGAGAATTAATTTTTAATAATTTTCCAAGCTTTCTCCCAACTTTTCTAGGTTTTCTTTTATCATAGAATTTTGTTGGCAGTTGTTACAGACGAATCCAAATGGCGGTGGAAGATAATGTAGCTTCTTGTGGGATGAATTTTGGTTCCCATTTACGTACGGATAGAAGTTCCTAGAAATGAACCATGAGCCTAGATGCAGTGCCTTAGCCATATTTTCCTCTAAACCAAACTTGACAATGAAGAAGTCTCATCCTAAGTCAATCAAGATTAACTGTTCGGATAGTTTTCAGAGGTCGGTAAGTTTAGATCGGATGTAGTGGTGAGGCATTCTACTACCAAAGACCTTTATGATTACTGAAAAGCGTCATGGCTGGTATAGGCGTTTCTTATCTTCCCGAGAGAGGGCAAATGAGCCATGAATACATTTTCCTTTATCATCTTTGATGTTTGGGGAGGGTTCCTCATCGTAATACTATGTTCCGCTTACTGCCTGTTTATCTAGTTATATTTTCTTGTAAAATTGTGTTGGTATTTCTTCCACATCTATTTGGTTATTTTTATCCGGTGATTCCGGTGAGATAATTGGTGGTGTAGTATTTGTGTCCATGTAGGTAGTCTAGGGAAAGGGGAGACCTTCTCTCACCGATGCTTTTTTAAATTCAACCTATGTATTAAGTAGATGCCACTTTTTATCGAAACCGAGAATTCACAATTTTGTGTTATTTTTTTCTCGTTCGTCATGTCAAAAAGAAAAATTCGATAATGCTAGTGATGGTACTTTGAAAGGTGTTAGTAATAGGCTTGAGTAAACAGTCGTTGTTGTGTTGGTTTCATCAATGTATATTATTGGTTATTATCAACTCGATATAAGTGAGTGAGGCGAATCTGTGATTTGATATTTATACAGTAAGGTATTTATAAATATTTATTTTTTAAAATATATACATGATTAGAGTAAAAGTACTAGGTCCTGGCACCTATAGATTGTGGTCTAGATCCACTACGTTGTATAACATTTTAGGGTGTACGAGAAGCTTAAAGAGGAGTACCTTGCGGTTACAAGATTTTATGGAAGTTCATACAGAGCGAAGACTCTTAAATTGATAGTTTAGTCCTTACTTATTTTGTTAATTTCACAAATACTATATTAGTTAATTTGTTATTTCTCACTTATTTTTTTAAGCTAAAGTTAATATACCACTAGGTAGGGTGTCCTGCCAAGTGGCTATTTTCATTTATATAAATCATATGCTCCTTACATCATGTAAAAGATATGAACTTGGCAAAAATTTTAAAAGCTAATACCAATAGTCGCTCACTTATTTTTCGATTTCCGTTCTGCATCTTTTCTAAAACATTTTAAACGGAGAATTGTTTTCAGCTTGTAAATGTGGTAGGAATGAAATTCCTTCTCTTTTCCATAATCTACCTTAGTCAAAGCAAATCCATATTTTGTCCAAATAAAATTCAATCAATTATATTAGTACCATAAAACATATTAATCCTATCTTTTGCAAGAAGCAAATCATTCTATGGTTTCATGAACTCAAACTGATCACATAACTATAATCTGTTTGAATCTTTAAACAAACAAATCTCGTAAACAAGAAACCAAATACTATTAGCTATAAGTCACAAGCACATCTGCTCCCCCCCCCCCCCCCCCCCCCACCCACTGTACACAATCTTTAATCACGTTCTTAGTTTTAGTTAGTAGATCCCAATTAAACAGATGAACTACATTACAGCAACATCAGCAACATCAGCCCAGCTACCACTGCATCACTTAGCTGCAGTATCGAATGAACACCAGATTTCATCGGTGGGGTCGGATTATTAAAGCTTCCACTCCTTACTGGCTCTGCTGGTGGCGGAAATGACATGACAGCAGGAGGGGCTGCTACTACAAAAGGTGGGATTGTGACATTGGGACAATGGGGCGGAACAGGTGAAAATGTAGAGTTATGATCATCAGATGACAAAGTGGTAGGTTCCAGTACTTGATCAATACCATGGCAAATGATAGAACCAGATCCAGTACATATATTGGGACTAACTATTCGAGCATTATTGAGAAAGAAACTTTTTCTACCAGAATTGTTCACCTTAAGTACAATGTCAGGTTTTGAAGTTGGTATAATAGAACCTGTAGGAAAATGATCGAGGTAGTCGAAAAGTAAAGGGGAAGGGATAGAATGTTGGAGCAAGAAATCTGAAACATCATTTTGTGAGATTAAGGTTTGGGAGAGTGTCTTGTCTTTTGGCATCAAGAAAGTGATGTTTCCTTGAATGAAGTCAGGAGGGGCCATGTTAATGAGCATGACAAAAGTGAAGTAATTGGCTTTTCTCATTTCATCAATGGCTTGTAAAATGTCTATGGTTTTTGAGGTAGTGTTTGTGGCATAAACTGATGAAATCATAATTGTTAGGAGTAAGAAGAACAAGGTCATAGGATTATTGGCCATGTTTTGGTTTATTGTGTGTCAATTGAGTTGATATGACTTTGTATCATTTGATGATCTTATTTTTATCCTGGATAATACAAATATTATGTGTTCTACTATTTAGATGGAAGTTAGCTAAAACATGCAATTTTGCTGCTCAACAACTACACTTCATTCCGCCTACATGAATGGAAGTCTTTTTGATCTTGGGACGTTACATGTACATATACATATATATGTATATAACAGCCCATTCTTTATAACATCACTTCACTATAACGGCCAAGTTTTCTTTGGAACCAATTTTTCATATTGTGTTATAATATATGTTCTCTATAACAACACGTCGTTATAGCAGCAAAAAAAATGTCCAAACAAACGAGGTTGATATAGAGAGGTTTGACTGTTATATACACATACATACATGTTCGTTTTCTTCCCTAATTTCTGTGTATTTGAGGAAATTGAAGAATTTAGGTTATTTCTACCATCTAACATCCTTTGACAAACAAGGGAATTTAACCAATATCACATGATTCAAGTTCTTAAAAAAGGAGAGGAAAAAGAAGAAAAAAAATGAAGAAAGATTTCATGATTTAGAGAAAAATTAAAAGGTTTTTAATCTTACTTTGGAAGTCTAGAGTTAATTTACTCCAGTCTCAATCAGCTAAAAAACCAGATGGCAGAAATTCAAAATTTCCATGTTTAGCAGAAGAAAGAAGTGAAGGGGGACACTTCAATGACAAAAATGTCTATTGCAATTCCGTAACACCAATGTTGTTGTAAACCAAACAATTAAATGAATAATTCCGGTCCAAGATGATACAAAAAATGCTGAATATTCTCTATCCAAGTCCAACTCAACTAAACTTGCTTAGTTCTGCTTCCACTTTGCTAAAAATAGTTGAGCAGCTTGTATGACGCCAATTTCATTGGTGAGATGAAAAAAATATAACTCCAATTGATATGCAACGAATCAAACGTACCAGCACTTTTTGCCATGATATTAGAGCAGCTTAGTGAGAAAAATTCCGAGGAAGAGAAGATGATCATGGGAACTGGAACGATCCTCCAATTTGCGTAGTGCCTGCTGGAGGATTAATTGCCACCCAAAGAAGGGAAATGGTGATAGCAATAAGTCCTGACCATACAAAGACAATGGTGGGTGTCCTGCCTCTTCTGCCCATAAGCCCTTTTGCGAAGGGATAGAGATGTGCCAAAACCCAGAAACTGAAGAATACACCCCCTATTAAACGGCTCCACTGTGGTATAACACTATATATTGTCCTGCTAAAGCCAACTGCTATTGCTATCAAGTTTACCATCATGATTGTAATGGGTGGGATCATGAGGGATGTCCACTTAACCAAATAGAGATCAGCAAATTCATCGTCTTCGTCATCACCACCTGATTTTGACGTCAAGGTGAAAGAAATTTCGATGCCAGCAACAACTTTCAGGAGCCCCTGAAGCACAGCAGCTAAGTGAGCACTTGTCCCTCCAATCAGCCAGAACTGCTCGTTCCTCCACAACTCCTCCAACTCAATGCCTGACCACTTGACCTCGAGCACCGCAAGCATGCAGAGGGTGACTGTAATAGTCAGGAGGTACACAAGGAAGGTGACATTGAGTGTTTGGACAATGAACTGACCAGAGAACAGGGAGAGTGCTGGTAAGAAGCAGTAGACAATTAAGAAGATTGATGTGAAGGGATAGATTCCACAATTGAGGTAAGCAATCTTCTGTAAGAATTTCATTTTTGAGCTGGCCAGAAGGGCATTGTTTCGGGAGAAGAAGATTTCAACTGAACCAGTAGCCCATCGAAGGACCTGGTGGAGCCTATCAGTGAGATTAATAGGGGCTGTCCCTCGGAATGCATCACGTTTGGTAACACAATAAACAGACTTCCAACCCCTGTTGTGCATCCTGTATCCTGTGACAACATCTTCAGTAACTGAACCATAAATCCATCCAACACGTTGTCCCCACTCTGTCTTTTCCTCGTACCAGCAGGAGATGACACTGATGGCCTCTGCAACAGTTGAGGCATCAAGATGCTCCCGAGGAATGGTCAAAGCACCAGGCGGCCGTCCATTCTTCACAGCTGGATGATCTGCCAAAGGACGACCTTGGAACTCCGCCACCGGGATTGAATCAATAAGGACTGCTGAGTTCCCAAAAGCCTTAGGAGCCAGTGAGAGGTTCATTTCTTCATCGTCCGAATCACCTAGTCGCAAGGCCCGATGCTCTTCTGGTGCATTAACATGCTTTCTTCTGCGACCAAAGCAGCAGCTACAACAACCGGATTGGTGCTCCTTGGAGCGAGGAGGGTCAAAACCATAGAGGGCTACCCTTCGAAAGAGACATCCAGTTCCCACATACATTGGACCCTGTAGCCCATCAAGGGCCCTCATGTTGCCATCAAAGAATACAGTATTGCGATTGGCATACCTATCAGACGGGTCAATGCCCTCAAACCTCTGAGGGAACTGCACATAGCAAAGACGATCCCCTCCCCTATCCATCATGAAACACATACCTTCCCTGATAGCCTGGGAGTTGTAAATGTAATGGTCACAATCAAGGTTAAGAATAAATGCACCATTGGACATGATTGCGGATGCACGAACCAGGGCATTCATAGCGCCTGCTTTCTTGTTGTGATCATAGCCAGGACGCTTTTCACGAGAAACATAAACAAGCATGGGAAGACGGATATCAACATCAGTCAGGTCCATAACCCCATCCTCACTGTTACCATGCAGTGGATCATCACTTGGAGGTTTCAACATCACCTGCATATTTGAAAACGTGATCATATTAATAGCTTTCAAGAATCTATCAATTTGCAGCGGTATTGCAGGTGGAATTCCAAAGAATTTAGAGTAGACTCTTAAGATAATATTACCTGTATTATTCCAGCATGATCCCCCTTGGAATGCTCAGGTCCAGAAGTCAACCATGTCCCAGGCCAATGGGTTCCATCAGCCATCCACGTAGCTTTTGGGATCTTTACATTCTCTACAGGTTCATCCTCGGTCTTCTGCCTCTGTTGCTTCATGGCCTTAATTTCTTCCCTTGCATGATAAGCATCAGACCTACGGCGAATGGAGTCTGGCAAGCCATTGATACGGACCTTAAACTCATCATACTCACGCTTTGCCCGCCTACGATCCTTAACAAAGTCTTGCTTTACCTTGTTTTTGTACGGATCCTTCTTTAAACTGAAGTAACTATCTGGATTTCTAGGTTCAATGTTATGTTTACGACAAAATGGTACCCATAAATTAGCAAAACTTGCAGCTTCTGCCATTGCCTCAAAAGTCAAAAGAGCCCCTCCATCATCAGAAACATAGCAAGCAAGCTTTTCTACAGGATAATCTGCAGCTAGAATGGACAATATAGTATTCGCAGTCACAAGAGGAGGTTCCTTCTCTGGATCAGCGGTAGAGACAAACATATCAACGCCAGGGAGATCAGATCTCCCGGTAGGATTGTTTGGACTAGGTGATTCAAATTTGTCTTTCAAGACACCAAGATCAGTAGCACGGTTGATAGGGCAAAGCTTGGGCAATTGGTCAAGAATCCATGAAAAAGCAAACCATATTTCACAAACCACGGACATCCCCCACAACCAAATTGCATCATTGTTGGGATGTTGCACTCTCCATGTTAAGAAAAGCCCAAGTACAACAAACCGAACAGCAACCAAAAGTCTGAACAGAAGAAACATAGGAAAAGAAAGTATATATCAGCTCAAAATGACTGGAACCTGTAGATTGTCATTGCATGAGATAAATGCTAGACAAAGCAATGAACCACTTTTTCTTTCCGTCCTGTTTATTGACAAGGGTCCTTTGGATTATCAAAGAGAAGGTATTTAACAGTAAACACTAGAACAATAGTGATAGCAGTATTCAATTGAGGATAATAAGAAACACATTCAAATTTTTCTTTTCTTTTATATCTTATAACAACTAAAAAATCATAAAGATAGCAGTGATTTTTTTCCTTAGAAAGTAAAAGTCATTAAAAGATAACATTCGATATATTGCACCCCTGAATGGTTCAAGTAGTAGCAACTGATAAAGGAAAAAAAAATGCAACTATACCATCTAAGTGTCATTCAAGACTAACCCAGTAGTGAAACACACATAGCATATGTTACGAGAAAAATGCAACAACAACAAACCCAGTATAATCCCACAAGTGGAGTCTGGGGCGGATAGCGTGTATGCAGGCCTTACCTTACCTTGTGAAGGTAGAGAGGTTCCCAATAAACCCTTAGCTCAGGAAAAGCACAGTCAAAACATTGTTGAAAAGAAATACAGTAATGGAGAAGCCATGGAAAAGAAGCAGTAAGATAACCGAAGCAAAAGAAAAAAACGGTAGTAATACGAGAAAAATCATGCATTTATAATTTAGTGGAGAACTGAGAAATTAGTCGACCGATTAAAAAGTAGCTTAAATCAATGGAAAAACTACATGTCAGGACAAACGAAGCAAAAGCAGAAGAACAAGCAAGCAGCTAGTTACTTCAGACCCGCCAAAAGGGTGATCAAGTACAGCGTACAGCTATTAGTATTAATACTAAAACACGACACAGAAGGACTCTGAAGAGTAAAAGCGGAAATAACTTCTCACCTGTAAGGACTTAAGATTGCAGCAGGAATTTTCAATTTGCGCGTAAGTGGCCTCCATGGTTTGTTCATCAGCTCAGTAGGCTCAACAATATCATCATCTTTTCCATTTGCAAATCCACCTTCTTTTGGCCATATAGCGTTTCCATACCCATATGTGCCCCTTGTTTCAAACAGCCAACGGTTGTGATCAAAATCTGCAGTATGGCTCCTAATCAATGCCGACTTAGTTGATTTCATAATTGACAACCTTCTCTCCATCTTTGACATCCCAGCTGGCGCAGTCAGAGGAAGCGGCCGATCTTTTCCACTCGCTTCCTCCCAATCAGTGACTTTATATTGCTCCTTACACCCAGGACATATACCATCACCAGTTTTGACAGCATCCAGGTAACAGTCTCTGCATATCTTGAAATCACATTCACAGGGAACAATATCAATGCCCCTTTCATCACTCATCACTTTAGCATCACATCCTGGGATAGCACATGACGACCCTTTTGCACCCGCCATTTGGGGATGATTTGCCTCTGATTCAATCACCTTGTCCATGAGATGGGCGCGTGTAACGGAATTAAAACCACCCGTGAACAGTGAACTTGATACATACTGCTCTTCAACCTTCTGAGAAATAGAATCCATGGGCTGATTGTCAGGAGTCGGAGGGAGATGTACCATATAGTTCATATAGTCACTGCTGCTAAGTTCACTATCAAGATCATCTCTTGAGTAGTTTACATATCGGCCTGAGGAAGTCCGCCGCTGGAAAGTCACATGTGGAGGAAGTGGAGGTTTGCCATGCTGCGAATCAGGCAAATCCGAGGAATTTGACACAGATGATCTACTAGCTTTGAATGATTTTGAAGCCATTTCCAAAGACTAATTAAGATATAACGCCAGATCCTGAAGAAAGAAAACATTAACCTGGTTCAAGTTCCAAATTCATAGATAAATATCATTATCAACATGCTCTATCGTTATCCTTCAGATCATGGGGCAACAACCAAATACTCAGATGTAGACATCTGGAGATCATAATTCACTAAGCATTCAGAAAATATAGTATGCTAATGATGAGAAATGATTAACAAAGACAGAGCTCTTAAGTCTTGAACTATTGGTCGACTAGGATTCCAAATGTTTGCTTTTTTTTTCTTTTCACAAACTTGGCAACCATATAAGCATGCACCTTATAAGAAAGATGCACAAATTTTACATGAAGTTCAACTGAAGTCAAACTTCAACTCAATTGTACACAAAAAGCTAGAAAACTAGCACAATCACGTCTCATAATCAGATTAATGAGATCAAGATGAACAGATCCAGAATAACCTTTTCATAGATTACCAAAACCGAGATGTAAATAACAATTAGCAACTAAAGTACATAAAGAAATAACAAAAACAGCTTCATTCATTGGTCACTGCTAATATGTAAAGACCTTTATAAGACTAATAGGGAAAGCAGGTTATACCTTTATAAGAAATGCTAAGCCATCATTTTGAGAATTGAAAATTCCAAGAGAACTGAATCGCTGCAGCAAAACCAATTTGTTTACGCAAATCTTTACAATCTAATGCTAAATCTGAAAGATTTTCAAAATGGGTAATGTGTTATGCAACTGTCTTCACAATGCTTGAAGCTTTTTCAGAAACTAAGAATGGGATTTCGTATCCTTTAGCTTGAAATGGAAAATTAAATAGCTCTGGAAGTAAATTAAAGGAACTTGTAGTCGAATGCCGGCTCTCTACTTTCAATTTAAAGCGTTTTTTTGCTCTCTTTTCACTTCAATCTCTGTTTATAGCTTTAAATAATAAAGAGGAATAAGTAGAAGATATGGAAAATTTACAAGGAAAAGTTTCACTGTCTGTCTTACTACAAGATGTTCTGTAATGGCGTGTTTTTGTCCTTTTTTTTCCTTTTTAAATATTTTGTAGGCAAGGACGAAGAAGCAAAATTTCGTCTATTTTGAATTATTTTCTCAAACGTGGTGTGGGGTGTCGGAAAAGGGCAAATCAGATATTACTCGCAATGTGGAGGTTATTCTTGGTATCTAGTGCTGACTAGGACTTTCGAAAAGGAAAATGATCTTCACCAAAAGGAGAAAATAATAAAGGGCCTTTGACATGTAGTAAAAAGTGCTAAAAGCAAATTGGATCATTACGATTATTTTTAAAATCTCTTCCGCTTTGATCCTTTTGTTGGAGTTATTGCTCTTTTGGTGGCTCAAACTCACGACCATGGGGTTATAGGTGAGGGATGTTGATCGTTTGAACAATCCCCTCGGGTGGATTATTATGATTTAACGACAAAGCATTAACAATTGATTAGACACTTATTAGTTCAAATAAAACTATAAAAACTCTATTTTTAACGGTCGATGTGTTCAATAGAATGAATACAAATGCTCTTAAATCTACAAAAAGTTAGTCCAGTTTAACTATCAACAAAATTCAATTTGAAAAATTAAACCAAAGATTTATTTTAAAGCAAATGCAATTGGATGGATAATGTCCTAACTCCTAACTGAGAAAAATGGTCCTATTTAGAGAAAAGAGGTCAACTCTAATCAATAGTGGGTCATCGTCGAAAAAGCAAATAAAAAAAGCACCTCGAATTGTATCTAATTGCAAAAGTGCCACACAACATGGGCGAGATGATGGTAAACGCGTAATTAGCGGAGCACATGAGGACTTCACGATCACCGTTTTGTCTACCTTGACAATGGTGGCCCAATTTTTATGCTATGTATATACATAAATATATAAATTGTTCGACGCGGGAACGTTGGCTGGCAACAACTCTGTACCCACTTAAAACGTCATTCATTTGCTCTCTTCGTATCCTACTATTTACCACTATTATTTCTATACCGCAAATGTGCCAATTCTTGCAAAATGCAGTCGTGGCTTCGTTACTTTCAGTATGTCGCTTTCTCAGCTGTAATAGTTGTTAACCCATTGGATGATAGTTTTGTGAACCAATAATATGTTGGATATTCTTTTCGGGATAGTTATGGGGACCATTAAGGTGTTCAATTAAAGAAAAATATAAGCACTTTAGCACTTCTTGAACTAGAACCACTCGCCCTCCTTAGACTCAAAAATCCACCGATGATAAAGGCCTTTTTACATTTACATATGCCACTTATGACAGTGTCGGGAATGCAACTTACTCCAATAGTATAAAGGAATGGCTACATTACACTACTTCAGAAGTTGTCCCAAATCTGATGCCGAGATCCTCTGCGGAAACAATGATTACTTATCGTGCGGAAAGGAATGCATTAAGAGATAGGCAAGAGGAGAATTTTTATTTATTTATTTTTTTTTGGGGGGGGGGGGGGGATAGGAAAGAAGAGATCATGTAATACGATGGCATCTAGAAACATAAGATGGTCGGTGACTTATTGCCAGGAAACTACACAATTGCAAGTGACACAGCTAATGCAACATGCGAAGGCAACCATCCAAAAACATGAGCACGATCTATCATGATTTCATGATATAAAGAAATTATTATCATATGTGCCTCGCACGTCCCATACGCAGCCTTGCCCACCATACTCATTGCACCCATCCCCTTTGCCACTACCATCCAACAGTCCAACACTACAGTTGGGGAATTAAAAAGAAAGCATGTGCATCCATCTCTCACCACATGCGTAAACTGTTAAAATACTTTTTTTTTTCATTCATGTGTTTACATCTAACTAAGCAGTTCAATATCCTATGGCTCCACTAGCTGTATCCATTACCTGATATTTCCGAATTGGAGACAAAGATCTGTATGACAATAGCAGCAAATATAACCATCACTTCCTTAATGGTATTAAAGGAACCGGGACCAAGATAGCACATATGCCGCACTCCTAAAAAACTAGTTAACGCCTCAAAAAATTCAAAACCTCAACATCTCAAGGCCTCCATAAGTAGCAATCCATGCCATCACAAAGTGAAGAATTCTTCAGAAATCCACTAAAGGTGCATATACAAATTGCATAATATTGAGTTTCTAAATCAAGCTATCATAATATTCTTTGGGCAACATTTGACACAAATAATAAATCAGAATTTCCTCACTTCTGCTTACTGAATCACATATTGCTAGGTCTCTTAGAACTACATCAAATGTTGAAGTGCAAAATAATATACGAGGAAAACAAAAAGAAACATCTGTGATCTACAATCAAGATAATGGACCTGGGCTTGTAACATTGGGACGACGGCACTCACACGTGCACACGCTTCTGGATCCTTTCACCACCCGCTGTGACCTTCTAGTGTGAAGCTTGATGTTTACCAGCTTACCTGCCATCTGGTGAATCACCAGAAAATGAAGGAAAGCAAAATTCAGGACTCTATTACCTCTCATACTGCAACTCATAGATGGCATAGTCGAAATAGATGAAGAACCCCCTCCAACCAACCAAAAAAGAAGAAGAACATACTAAAGAATAGCCCGTTCCGCAAAAAGAAAAGGGATTAGTGAAGCAACTTATCATTATACACCATTGCATGGATAACTATTTAGCAATGAAGCATCACGAGAGAATCAAAATGTACAACAAGAAATCTAATGAGTACTAACAATGACCAACTCTATAAATCTTAACACAAGTAAAAGTCTGCAATGAATGAGAAGAATGTCAAAAAAATTATGGGACTTTCAGCCTAGAGAAATCCATTTGATTATATCATACAAAGTGTTTCTCCTACTTCACCTGAATAAGCTGTTTCCTTCGCAATTTGCTCAAAGAAAGTTTAGTTTTGATCCATAGATAGATAAAAGAAGTGGAATGATAGGAATGGAAACCAATACTTGAAAAAATTTAGTTAGTTAGCACACAAAAATCCAACCGTCACGAAAATAAAAAATAAAAAAAAGAAAAGGAAACCAGTACTTCACAAAAGTGAAGACAAAAATAACAACAAACTAAAGAGAAGTAAATGTCGAACCATTCTCCAGACTAAATCTTCAGGACCTAGCGGCTGAGCTGGATGAGAATAAAGAAAATGCCTTGCATACTGCATTCATAAGGAAAAGCATTTATTTTTCCAGCCATTCTATGAAATGAAAGACAATGCTACTTCTAAGTGATAGTCTCAACCTAAAAATCTACGTACCTTAGCTAAGTTCACTTGCATCTCTTTGATTTGAGCTGCACTAACACTTTTTAGGAATGAGAGAAGCCATCCTGGTTGCAAAGCATCACTAGAAGAGACAAACAGAGCAATCTGCCAAAGAAAAAGTGATAAACAAGAGTAAGAGCCTCATACATAGTATGCAGTTTCATTTCTTCATCCCTTCCCTTCCATGTTCACTCTCCTTTAAGGAGAACGGAGAAACTTTGTTGGGTAAGACGAATTCCAGCTTTGATGCAATTAGAATTAAATATAGAAATCAATGTCATACAACACCTGAGGAAGAGGTAGTTGCTAGAAAAGTTATGGGAAGTTCCCTAGTAAACTACTATACATTGATAGATGTAACTTCCTCGCAGACAACCAAAAACTACTATAGATTGAGATACGTAACTTCCTCTTAGACCATCAACATTACAACTGGCCTTGAACTAATACTGCAGCTTTTGTTAACTAGGAACACTTCCTATTATGGGCTTCCAATTACGAGGATTGATCATCTTAACCTTGTATTAGGGGCTTCACAAAAGTCTGGATGAAAAATCTGCTCTAAAAAGAGAGCCATTACCATAGTCTGATTTGCTTTGAAAAACATTTCACCTTTTTAACACCTCTCCAAGATATTGATAGAGATTGAAATAAGAGTTCCAAAGTAACTAATACCTTCCGATAATCAAGAATCCCCTCAAAAGGAAGCTCTAGTTCATCGCTAACTATGATAGGAATGCAGCCACTGACAATTGCATCAAACAATCTGGCTGATGATGGGGTGTCACCAGCTGGATTTAGGCAAAATATACTCCTGTTTACCCAAGGAAATAAATAAAAAGCACACAAATTAACGTTTGAACTGAAGAACACCTTCACTTCCAGAATTTAAAGATTACACTCAGACAGTCTAAATCTTACTTGCGCATGCCACTCTGTGCTGCTGCTTTTCCTCCTTCTCCAGCAGTCCCCTCCTCAATGAGTACTCCATCTGCACCACGAAGCTCTTCCACAAGTTTGGAACGTATCTTCCCACCCTGAAAAGAAAGATATCATAACCACAGCCAACCATAATTCTAACCACTCTGTGGAAAAATACCCATTCTGAAGAACACAGCGCATGGAATACTTAAGGAAAAGTAGATTCAGAGTCCATTGCTTCTAATTGTAACTATGGAAACTACTACAGTAGCAAATTAAACCTTACAGACCAATCCAAAAAAGAAAAAATTAAACCTAGTAGTAACAGATCTAAGTTATAAATATTCCATACAATAAGGCAATAGTTGGGCATCACATTCTGCACCCTAACACTATAATATTGAAAACAAGGGAAAATAGAAAAGTTGTTAGTCTGGTTCAAAACTGCAAGTAATTGATAGTTCCGCATCCTCCTACTGTATAAGCATGAAAAAAAAATTCCTTTCACCATCTCATTCATTTATAATCAAGAATGTCGTGTACTGTGTATATATAACTTTGGAAGGTTACAAGGTAGCATCAACTACATTAGAAACTTCAGTTCCTTACTTCATAATGGGAATATGAAAAGAGAGAACGATGTTGCAAGATTGTCCATGTTCTTCCCTAGCAATATTAAGCAACCGGTTCCTAGCACGATTTAGCAACTAGTTCCTACCGAGATCTTCTCTTAAGATGGAAAGAAATAAATAAGTTGTTATTTTAGGATTTCACAATTGCACAAACGTTTGCATCCTCAATTAGCTTGAAAGTTCTTTTTCCACCATTTCATGCCCTGCCCTCAAATATTTTGAAATCTGCTGATGCCAGGATATTTTGAAACCTGCTCATTAAAGGCCAACATGGTAGCCTAGAACCTATTTTACTGTCATAGGATAGCCCAAATTTTCCAAAACATCATAAAATATCATCTTTTAACCAACTTAGTACATGAGCAGTAACATCAACTTAATGTGAACCGTTAAACAAACTGAATAAAACTTGCTTATTAATACAAGGTGAATCTTACAGCATTTCTTTTAAGTCTCCCCCGGAAAAATAGCAGCATAGATCTCTTTGATGAAGATAAACATTTTGCATCACATAGATCGACATTGGCAACATAAGGAAGTATCAGGTCTTTCTCGAGATAAACTTGCCCAGGCTTGTACCTGAAGTTCAAAGTAACCACAGTAGATGATGTAGAGCTGCAATAATTTTGATAGTTGTAGAAATTAGCAGTGAAGATACTAACCAGTTCCCTGTTGAGTCCATATCTGGGAGCAACCAAATAGCTCTCTTCATAAACTTGCGGACAGATTTGAAAGACCAAGGATGATGAACTGGAAGTATGTGATCTCTTCCCTCAGATCTATTCCAAGCTGGTTGATCCATAACCCATTTCAAAGCTTCCTAAATTAAGAAAAGTAATAACGAATATTGATTTACGATAAAACCACGGCTAGACAAAGTCTAGCACCATCTTCCACTAACATAAAAAAGTCTTTAATCCTGTCACAGAATCCGAAGTTCTATTTAAATAGATAAAAAGTATCAAAGTTTAAGATATCTGTTCTGGTGTTCAACCATAAGGATGTGAAACTAGAAAATTAGCAGTTACTCTTTTAAATTTGATCATGATAGGCTATATCAAAAAATTTGTGTAGGTACAAGTTTCGAGCATGGTAAATTGAAAAGGGGAAGGAACAATCGTTTAAAATACACATTGATACCAGGTTCCCCACTCAGAATTAAGTCAATTAACCAATTGTGGGACAAGTTTACAAGTTTTCCTTCCAACGGGAGAATTTTCTGTCCCTTTTCCCCCAAATCTGCAAACAGAGCATTGTAACGAACACAATGTAAACGCTTAAGACTAGGTTATGGGACTGAAACCTCGATGCAGTAGAAGAAATTAGTATGCTTCATCAAATAAAGAATTAGTATGCCTATGAAATAAGATTAACGAAGAAAATGTAGCTTTGATTGCAGTATTAGAAATTTGGACCAGACTGATTCCCAAAATATAGTCAGGATTGTGCTTCAGTCAAAAACAAAAGTTGTACAGACTGAGTGCAGCTTAAATTACTCCTAATCACGGAAAATATCACATTAAGCAAAATTCAGCAAAAAAAAATATACTAAGTCGAGCAAGAGGATGTCAGGATTTTAATGTGAGTTTTACACCAATTTACTTATTATACCAGGTTACTTACTATTTATTTTAGGTTACCAATCAATGCTTATTAAATAATTACCTTTCGGTTTATGTAAATATTTTTTACACCATCTGTGCATATAAATCAAACTCTAAGTTCAAACAGAAATAGTAAAGAATCAATAAGAAATAGGAAAAACGTTGAAGAAGTGACGCACTCACACCCTATAAAGAGCCTTGCATTGCTGCTTCTCCATCAAGAAGAAGCTAATGGTAGTGAAAAACGGAATGTAGAACAGGTCAGCTTCCTCTTGCTTATGTACTCTAACTACATTCTTCAATAGCCTCTCTGATTCTGGTGCTATTAAGTCGGCCCATAACCAGTAATCAATTGAATGCTACACAGGAAATATTTCATCAAAATGAGCTAAGCAAATGTAATTAAACCAATAAATGATGTACTTATATTTAAAGTGAACACTAGAAAATTACCTGTTCAATTAAGCGGTGAACAGGACTACCATTAGAGGTGAGATTCGAAGTCTCTCTATACGTGTTATGAAACAACCAGAGCAAATCATAAGTGAATTTTGATGGCATTTCGTATACGTAAACTTTGAGAGGCGAAAAAGCAGGATAAAACGGCTCATCATAAAGCCTTTGATTCTCATTTTTCCAAATGGAATCGTCCAGGTTCTTAGCATCCTCAACTGACGTTGTTCCTGAAACTGTATCGTCACCGGCCGTCGGGGATCGCGGAGATTTGGTTAGGAATTTCTCGAGTGAAGCTACAAAGGAGTAATCGATCTCGGAGTTAGGGTTTCGGGAGGAATAGCGGGACGGGGAAGAAGAGGAGAAGCTGGAGAAGATGTAGAAGAGAAGGGTGAGAGCGAGGAATGCGAGGAGGAAAAGTAGTGCCGGAGATCTGGGTTTGAAGGTTCCAGAAGCAGCACTGTAATGTCTTCCGGCCATTTAGATAATTGAATCACTACTCAACGCCACAATGACACTTGAAATCTTTAGTAAGCTACATATGATTCATAATTGTCTTGTTTGGCCTTCTAACATATATTTACCATTTTCGATAATAGTCTTACAATGATGATATATGTTGAGTCACAATTATTTAGTAAGTATATATATATATATATAATAAAATAATTATACGAATAAGTTAGGAGATTCAATATATACTACGTATACGGAAATGCATTACCTAACTACACAGTATAAGAGTATCAATTGACTCCTCGTTAACAAAGTGGCAGCGCCACTGTATATCTTCTCCTCTTTGATAAGCTTAATAGCAAATAGGTAGTCTATTTTTACTTTTAATTCTTTATATCTTATTTCTTCTTTGTTAATTTTTGCCTTTTTTGGATGTTATATAATTTCTTTCTGTAAAATTTTACTCGTATCGGTTGTTTTCATCATTCAATACATACATAATATGTGTTTGTAAATAAATTGATCTCACTTAATCATGATTAATTAATACATATTTTTGCCTATTCAACTAAAGACAGCAAAAGAATTTTGCACTACCTCCTTCTCTTTCAATTCACTACGACATCAACACTAGAATTTGTGACAGGTAAGTTGAAGAAAGTCCATTTCTTAATTGAATGTACAAATTGAAAATAAAGTGTACTAGTTTTCTTGAGATGGCAATAACGGATCGTCAGATGAAGATTGAATTGTGTGAAAAGACTATTAACAGCATGCTGTGCCAACCTGAGTGACTAAAGATATTGAATTCAACACTACCAAGCAAATTTGTATTAGACCAACTAGGGACTGTCATAACTGATTAATTGAACATTACAAAGGATATTTTTATGTTAATTTTATGGCCTTAATAGGTGTTGATTCTATCTTATATGTTGCCCCAAATCACGGAAGAGTGTCCCTATATTTGAACCAACAGTCTTACGGCAAGGGTATATTTGGACCCGAAATATAACGAGGGATATATTCTCCAAATTATCTTAATTCTCAAACGGAAGTTCACAGACATGTAGCATCACTTAGAAGTTAGAACAACTGAAATGGAGTCACTACTGACATGTCTCAAAGCACTGACACGAGATCAAGAACAAATATCATCCAGTGAAAAACAAGCAGTGTATTTCTTTTTCAAGCAGCTAAATCCCAAAAGTTCAAACATTAAAACTATAAGTAATCCAGGTATATGTGGAGACCAAATCGACGAAGTTTCTACATCCATTTATGAAGGTTCAATCATGAGCACAAGAGTTGGTAGAAATTGAACAAGCCTGATATTAACATCACCAAAGCCTGTGGATTCCAGTATTAAGTCAAATGCACGGGAAGGAATTCAAAATGATATGAGATCATCTTTTGGTGGTTGCTGTTTCTTTGTGTCATGTCCTGATTCAGATGTGCCACCCGCTTTTTTACCAAAAATCATCTCATCAAGATCATCCATCATATCGTCATTCCCTCCGTGAACTGCAGACCGGGAGCCTGCTGGTTTTCTGATCAAAGCATCTTCTTTTCCGGCACGGGGGGACTCATCAGGCTCCACAGCAACTGGAATCATGGCAGGTTCTGGCTCTGATGAAACAACCATAGGTTTCTTCAATTCGTTGTACTTCAAGAGGGCCTTTTGGACTTCATCATTTATATTCAGGGCTTCAAAAAGGAGGGCCTCATTATCTCCAGCAGTCTCGATGATTCTCTGAACAGTATTGAGGGACTGGCGACACTGTTGTACTAGCGTAGCTGTCAAGTCATCCTGCAAAAAATAATTTGAGAGGTAGGCATGAAATTAGAGGAATATGACCCCAGTATTCAAGGAGCTAAATCCACAATCGCGAATTTCTGTAAGGAGATTGCTATCATTCAGCAACAGCATGACAAGGGGTGGCACAAAAAGTATTTTCCATCTAATAGTTGGGGGCAAAAATAGTGGCCTTTTCTGAGAAGCCCCTTCAAGGAAGCATATACCAGAATATATTTCAAAATCTGGACAGTTATCCAAAATAATCTCCATAAAAACCTAGACAAATTCTGGTTCAACTAATAAAAGAAACAGTTAAAGTACACCAATTCCTAAAGCAAGGGTGAGAAACGTGAAACCAGAATTGGACACTGAAAAGATATACATGCTGACACTGACCAAAAGGAATAATAGAAGGGGTGTTTAGAAAAGGAACTTCCATTAATGATTTACTTGACAAAGATCTAGCCTATTACAACTTCACGATCACAGCGCAGCTCAAGTTGATGGCCGCTACTTTTAGAATAGAGACATGACTAGTGTCTTTGCTGGTTTGCAGGATAGCTCCTATGATTAATCTATAAATCTCAAATATTTACTCATATCACTAATTTAAGATTCAGCTGTTCAAAATGTCCACACAAGTCTATAGCACTTTAAGAAACTCTTTTTTAATGAAATAAAAGGTATATAGCACATTAAGAAAAGCTCATCAATGACAGCCCACTCTAACATAAACTTTGGCACAAAGTGATGGAAGGCTAGCTATGAACTTCAGACTGTCAAACAACACCGGAATTCATCCAATTCATACAATTGATAAACATCTATATTAAGAAAGAGACCTTGGCCTCACTAAATGTTTTGCACCAAAAGTCACACGAGGCCTCTTTTCCTCTTCTCAATAAGGTCCTTTATCTTATTCTGATCCTTAAGCACCAAAATAACGTATGAGCCCCATGTAATCGCATAACAAATAAACTGATAAACAATAACATTGGCAGTTCTTCCCCTCATAAGAGTGTAAAATAAACCAGATAATCAACTTAGGGTGGAGGGAATAAGAAAGGAACATAATACTTCAATGATAAAAGAAACATATACTTGTGGTGGGAGGTACTAGTCGAGGTGCGCGCAAGCTGGCCCGGACACCACAGTTGTGAAAACAAAAAAACATATATGAATTACTAACTAGTTGCTATATCTTGCCATATTTCAATTGCAAACCAGTGAGATTATAATCTCTACCACCTAAAAATGTGCAGCCACTTGCCACCAAAGTACTATAATGCACCTAGAGCCGTGTCCTTTGCAGAACAAATTAAAAAACCAACGAAGCAAAATGATAACCACACTTGACCAAACAATCTTATAACATGCACAGTGGGCGACAAACCATGCACCACAATACTGAAGTTTTCCTTTACCTAGGAATTGCACTGCCTTTTTCAGCCACTACCTTTACAGTAATAGGCAGTGGAATACTAATGAAGGTTTAGTGCAACATTCAATACTCATTGTAAAACAACTTATAAGGATTATATAAGGTCACAGGAAAACAGTAAAAATACTTGATGATTCTTTTCCTTGTTTCAGGATAAATCAGAAGTATATAATGCTATGCCATGTAGATGTCATCTTATACATTTTGCAAGTACACACTAAGCCTCCCAATATCTAGCAAACCATTATACAGGTTAAAATTTCCTGCTTGCAGGAGTACTTGATTAATCTTTCTATCTATGCATTAGTCTGATGGGTTCTGAACTTCTGATATTCAGTTATTTTACCCCAGAAGATTAAGCTCAAACACTATTAACCAGGAAACTGCGGACATATATTCCAGTCCCAAATTGAATCTCTGCCCTGACATGTAGGTGCAGCCACACCTTATGTGAAGTGGTTCGTCCGATATTCTTAATAAACATTTATACATAAATAATATGAAAAACACTAAACGTTGATAAAATGAATATGAACGACACCGCTTGAGAGTAACAACTTCCAGTTCCGCTGTGAAGCGCCATATTTCTTTAGGAGAGGTAGAGGGTTCGAACATCTGTTTTTTAAATAATTTCCGCTTTTAAACTGCCAAGAAAAAGGTTCCAACGAGGTTTGAACCCACGATCCCTTACCCATTAAGACCAAAATCAACCAGTGGGCCTACAATCGAGTTTTTTAAATGAATCGACAGATAAATTCAACTCTATAATAGCAAAGTGTAGCCTAATTTCGGTAGCGCTTAAGAAAATTCCTGCGTACGCCCCTGCTGACATGAAAGCTTGAAACTTTTTAAATTGATCTCCTCTACCACCTTTATATCACTCGCTAACAAGAAGTGGTCCGCATCAAAATGCACAAGCAACAATAATTCCATCACAGTATTCCAACACTAAATGCACCAAATATAACAAGAGAAAGCTTTAAATGAAAAGAACAAAACTCAGTCTTGGGGTGGAGGGCTCGATATGTTCAACTGCATTATAAAAACCAACTACAAAAAAAAGCGCGAGAAACCTAAACAAGTATTTAACTCTGCTAGCCGTGACCACCAAAATCCAAAACTTGTTGGTTAAAATAGAAACTACTGCATTGAAAAACTAAAATTATATCTTCAACTGCAATGTCAAAAAACCAGCTAACATGTCTGCAACAAGTTGACAATTTTAACATACTGTAAATCCTTTCCCACTCATTAAATGGATGACACATCTTTAAGGGTTTTTTTTATAAGTGACTCTTTGTAAGTTTTTGGAACAAAAAGATGAGAGGAAGAAAACTTGATGTCTTGTTCTTCATTGTTGTCCAGAAGTTCAATTTTTCCTTCCAAACATAACTCAGAATCTCTGTACATCGCCATCATCCATTCATATCCATCTTTTCTTTCTCTGCTGTATTAATTCATGTGGATCTCAAACAATTATTGTACGTCAATCACAGATGAGTTGGGATCTGAATGTATCCTTTTTTTGGTCAAACTGAGAAAATTTTAGTTAACCAAGTAAACAATATACACAACTAGCTCATTTGACTCTAGAGCTAGATCACACAAATATAACCAAGTCAAAAACAAACTAAGGATAAAGACTGCATAAGCTATCAGTAGCTAAGGAGCTTAACACCTTCTATGTATCCATAATAAAGACTAATTCACTACTAGCAATCCATCAATATATCGTTGATCAGACAATTGGTTAAGAAATGAATTCTTTGCATAAAACAACATCACCATGTAATATTTGTACTAGGCAACAATTTTACCACTAGTTTTCCAAATCCAGCCAACTCATTTGGACTTGAATACAACTAGACTTGATATTTCATAATAGAAAGCAGGCTTCACAGTTAGAGGGCATAATTTAAAA